GCAACCCATAGAAAACAACAACATGGACTGCAGTCCACTAACAAAATAGCTAATTCATGTGAATGAATACAATCATGCATAGATACTCAAAAGAACGAGTCGAGTCACATACAAAGTAGATGAACGTATACCAACAAGCAAAAACAAATACAGAGTACTAGTAGTCATCACGGGCGCATGGAAAAATAGAAAGAAATGGAATACAGGGAATACTACACCACTTATTCTAGAAATAGCATAGTGTGGCTCCGTACGGGGTCTCCTCCATCAACTCTCATATACAGTATCCCATCAATTGTGAGTTGTCGGTGGTTTGCACTTCGGAGGCGGCTTCGGTTTCGGTTCAGGTTTAGGCTTGGGCTCCGGCTTTGGTTCGGGTTTGGGCATTGGCTCGGGCTTAGGACCTGGCTTTGGTTTGGAGCAGGGCTTGGGCTTTGGTTTTGGCATAGGCTTGGGCTTGGGTTCTGGTTCGGGCTTTTGTCCGGGTTTTTGTTCGGGCTTTGGTTTGGGTTTGGGCATCGGATCAGGTTTGCAGGGCTCTGGCTCTGGGGGTGGCATAGGTTTGGGCATTAGCTCTTGTTTCGGTTCTGGCTTTGGCTCTAGCTCTGCAAACTTCCTGACGACAGCAATGCCTCGGCCAGCCGCAGCAGCTTGGTTGAAGGCGGAGGCTGCAACTGTGCCGACGAGGAGCACGGCGAGGAGGCGATGCCTCGCCATTGCTGCCTACTTGTGATTGTAGCTAGTGTTGAACCTGCTGCGCTTTGTGTGTGCGCGCGTGTGTGTTGTGTGGAGAGCTGGAGATACAGATTGTGTAGTTTTATAGGCCCGGTGAAACAAAGCAGATCTGGAGGCTGCATTAATTAGAATTGCAGCTAGGTAGCTGGAGTGACAAGTAGTACTGGGTAACATGTCAATGGAGTTATATTGGTTGATTAGTTGATTGCAAATGAAGCGACCTACGGAGGTAGCTAGAGGTGTTAATAGCACAGCTGGATTTGCGTGTGTGTCTCTGTGATGATAGTAGCTAAGGGTGAGTGGCAATATTTTTACTCTATTAGTTGCCTCCTCGTAGTAATAGAATTCTGTTAGTTGCCTTGTCAATCCCGTGCTCACACGTACATGTGACCGGCCATCATTTAGAAATTAAGATAGACAGTGTACACGTTTGTGCAATGCAATACAAAGTAGTACAAAGCAAATGCTTCAGTTCAATTCACAATGGAAAGCAAAGGTCTCTGGAAAGGAACTGGCCGGACCGTGCACCTCGTGCGTGAGCGTCACCACCTGTTGGAAGCCCTAAGGCTCCGTGGTATGCTTTCGTGGACCGAGTTTTCGCGGACTCGTGTTTTCTCAAGCACTCTCGCTGGCCCCGTATACTCGGCACAGTTTCAAAATTGTATATACCAATGAGGATTTTATCATGCGCATCGTCTCAAAATTATTAAATCTTTATAACTCTCCGACAAACTAACCTATTTTGATGTTGCATGCCCCTCAGTCTCCAGTCTCATGCATGCGTGTGTTTTAGTTATGCATGTATGCTTTTCCAAAAAAGGCTCCATGGAGCCGGAGCTCCAAAACGAATGGGGTTCCCGAGTTTAGCACCGCCCTATATTCGAAAAGAGTAAGGATTATATGAGCTACAATGTTTTTTCCTCTGTTTATCATATTTTGACTCAAGAGGGTTTCGTTGTAATTCCTAGTTATATGAGTTATTTTGCAATTTCTTGTATCATATTTTGGCATTGTACCTATAATTTTGTTGAGTTTGAATAAAGTTACATGTCATTCTAATAACTAGCCAGCCAACAGTTGGTTCAATGCGTGCGGTCATTTTGCGCAAATGCTATGTCTCTACGTAGTGCGGTCATTTTGCGCAAATGCTATGTCTCTAGGTACTGCGAGGCGCTCACCTTTGGCGATGCGGTGCGGGCTCTGGCCCAGTAGCAGTGGAGGCGGTGTAGCATTGGTTTGTTTCATGCGATTTTCAGAATGTTTTATTTGGATTGTTTTATCTGTTTTCTTTATCAGGTTTGTTTAGGTTTTCATTTTCATTTTTTCCCTTTTACTTTTCTGTTCATTTTCTTTCAAGTTTTTTTTCATTTTCCATATTTCAAATACATGTTGATTGTTTTCAAAATATTAAACATTTTTTAATTACACATAGAATATTTTTCCAATACATGTTTGGACGTTTTCTAAACATCATGAACAATTTTTATATACCACGAACATTATTATAAACTGTAATACAACTTTTTTTTATATTTCCTGAACGTTTTTAATATTGCCATGAACAATTTTCTAAACATGTGAAAAAATTGAAATGTAATGTTTTTTTGAAACAATGCGAATATTTTTTTTTAAATCTCAGGAACAATTACTAAGACAAGTTGAACATTTTTCTTATTTTTTTACGAAAAAAATTCGGATCTATTTATGAACTGACATGTCAGTATAAGATTACCAGAAGAAATAGAATATACATACAGGTCCATAGACCACCCAGCGATGTCTAAAATCACTCGATCAAGCCGAAAGTGCACCACCATCATCGCCCCTCCCTCACCGGCGTCAGACATTGTTCACTCATGTTTCTACAAAATGTTCATCGTGCGTGAACAAAATATTTACTGTGTAGTTAAAAATTATCATGGATTTAAAAAAATCATTTTGTATTTTCAGAAAATATTGTTATTTCAATGGTTCATCATGTATTAAAAGAAATCTTCATTCTGTATTGTTCAAAATGTTCACACTGTATTTTTGGAAAAATATGAACACTTTTTAGTTCTATGTGTATTTGCAAAATGTTTGATATTTTGAAAACATTTTACAAATGCGTGATGAACATTTTCTTATGGCATCACCAGTTCTCCTAATTGCAATTCGCAATCTTCGTCTTCACGGGTAAGCTTGACGACGTGAGTCTCGCCGCCTCCTCAGATGTCTATGACACCGAGGCACCAGCATGTCATTCTCCAGGCCTCTCATTCCACACACCCATAACCATATTACTAGTGCCACCCATTCGTTGAAGCATGTTAAATGTTAGGGCTCTAATATCTAAAATTCTATTTTATGTATTTACTTTCCTCTTCAGTTTTAGGGTTACTCTAATGTTGCTTAAAAAGGATTTGTCGGGTGCTGAAACGAAAGACAATCAATTCGCCAACTTCACCCAAGGGCTTTCAAAATCATAGGGCAGGCCCTGCCAGTACCATGGGGCGGTGAGAGATTATTATGGTCTCTCGTATGTTGCCTAGCACCATCACTATGAGATTTTTCTTGTTGCGAATTGAGTAAGAGAAAATGTGTTAATAATAATTTTCATGGTGCCTTTTATTGGCAATCTTGACCTAGGGGGTGTAGCTACCTTTCACACATATGCTATATATCTAAGTAATTCATCCCATTTAATTGCACATGCATGTCAATCACATTATGAAGGGCATGCAACCAATCAACTTTCACTAACCACTTTTCAACACACGTAAGTCCTCCATATCATCAAGCGTGCATGTAATCACTCAAATTTTCACTTTCCATCATATGCAAGTCCTCCACATCATCAAAAGACATGAAAGCTCTTCGCCACATTATATTTACTATTTATATTTCAGCAAAAAATAATTAAACTTGAAGGTCACAAGACAATATAACATGCATCCACCTCCAGTTACATCTAGGTTTTCTATCGTCATATGTGCGAATGTTGTGTGGTATTATTCCCATAGATGCTATTTTTCATAATTTCATTGCTATAAATTTCCGTAGCAATGTGTGTGACGTTTACCTAGTATAACCAGCAGCAGAGCCAGCTCACTCACGGAGCCTGGGCATAAATACTAATGCACTCGGTCGGGACTTAGTTCATAGGTGAAGGGTAGAGAACAAAGGCCGCTGTTTGGCGTGTGAGTACACTTTATACATCTAGAACACTAGACACGCACACGCACACTATACACTTCATATGTGATATATGTGCTGCTATTTGGGGAATCCTTCTCTTCCTTTTTGTTGACATCATCTTTCCCCCCCAAAAAGACCACATAATATGAAAAACAATCCCATAGAGAAAATAACTGAGACTGCACACCATAGAGAAGACAACATAGACTGCAGTTCACTGACAAAATAGTTCATTCATGTGAATGAATACAATCATGCGTAGATACTCAAAAGAACAACGAGTCGAGTCACATACAAAGTAGATGAACATATACCAACAAGCAAAAAAGAAATTACAGAGTACTAATACTCATCACACATGCATGGAACAATAGAAATAGATGGAATACAAGAAATACTACACCACTTATTCTAGAAATAGCACAGTGTGGCTCCGTATGGGGTCTCCTCCATCAACTGTCATATATAAGTATCCCATCAATTGTGAGCTGTCGGTGGCTTGCACTTAGGAGGAGGCTTCGGTTTTGATTCAGGTTTAGGCTCGGGCTCCGGCTTTGGTTCGGGTTTCGGCATTGGCTCGGGCTTAGGACCTGGCTTTGGTTTGGAGCAATGCTTGTGCTTTGGTTTTGGCATAGGCTTGGGCTTGGGTTCTGGATCGGGCTTCTGTCCGGGTTTTGGTTCGGGCTTTGGTTTGGGTTTGGGCATCGGTTCAGGTTTGCAAGGCTCTGGCTCTGGGTGCGGCGGCATAGGTTTGGCCATTGGCTCTGGTTTGGGTTCTGGCTTTGGCTCTAGCTCTGCAAACTTCTCGACGGCAGCAAGGCCTCGGCCAGCCGCAGCTGCTTGGTTGAAGGCGGAGGCTGCAACTATTCCGATGAGGAGCACGGCGAGGAGGCGATGCCTCGCCATTGCTGCCTACTTCTTGTGCTTGCAGCTAGTGTTGCACCTGCTGTGCTTTGTGTGTGTGTGCTTTGTGTGTGTTGTGTGGAGAACTGGAGGTACATATTGTGTGGTTTTATAGGGTGGGCGAAACAAACCAGATTTGGAGGCTGCATTAATAAACATCGCAGCTAGCTTAGCTGGAGTGACAAGTACTGTGTAACATGGCAATGGAGTTATGTTGGTTGATTACAAATGCAGCAACCTAGAACCTACCTAACAGGAGCTGTTAATAAGCACAGCGCTGGATTTTGTGTGTGTGTCTCTATGTGATGATAGTAGGGCGAGTAACAATATTTTTACTCTATTAGTTGCCTCCCCGTAGTAATAGAATTCTGTTGGTTGCTTTGTCAATCCCGTGCTCACACGTATATGTGACCGGCCATCATTTAGAAATCAAGATAAACCGTGTACACGTTAGTGCAATTTACAAAGTAAAAAAGCAATCGCTTCAGTTTCAATTCACAATGCAAAGGAAAGGTCTCCGGGAAGGAACTGGCCCAATCGTGCAGCCACCTCGTGCGTGAGCTTCACCACCTCAAGGCTCTGTCGCATGCTTCGTCAGCCGAGTTTTCGCGGACTCATGTTTTCTCAAGCACTCCCTTTGTCTGGGTATACTGGGCACAGTTTCAAAACTGTAGATACCAATGAGGATTTTATCATGCTTATTGTCTGAAATTATTAAATCTTGTAACTCCCCGACAAGCTAACCTATCATGACGTTGCATGCCCCTCCTTCTCCAGTCATATGCATGCGTGTGTTTTAGTAATGCAGGTATAATTTTAACTGCTAGGGCTACATGCATTGGCTAACCATTATATTCACCTAGAGTTTTCAAAAAAAAAAAATCCAAAAAAGGCTCCATGGAGCCGGAGCTCCAAAACTGATGGGGACGCTGAGTTTAGTACCATATATACAGATAGAGTAAGGATTATATTGTGCTAATGTTTTTGCCTCTGATTGTCGTATTGTCCGGTTTAGAATGGACAATGTTGATAGTATGAAACAATATGAATTGCTTGTCTCCCGCCTCTCAAATTCTCTTTCCAGACCACTTCCTTTGTTTAACAACTACAACCCCATTTCACATTCGCAAATTCTTAATGTGGAAATCGGGAAAATGTCAGAATTAAAATGTCATGTATCCGAGATCATATCCCAATCCCAGTATAAACCAAAACGACGTGGAAAACATGAAAATATGAAAACTTGAAGATTATTATTTCGATGTCGAGTAGAAAAAACATAGGAATTCTGAACATGAAGAGAAGAGAACATATGAATTCTATCTAGATGTAAAAACAATTAAAAATGAGATGGCACCTCATGTTTGATTTCCCCTAAATTTCTTTCGACTAGTCTAGGATTTTCAAATAAATCCATGATGGACCAATCCTTTGTTCCAAACAGCACCAAAGAAAAAAAAATCTATATGATTTCTATCCTCCAAATTTCGTACCCTTTTCATGTGTTGCATATATCTAATAAAAAACTTGACTTTCCATGCCAGCTTAAGAAATTATTATTTGCCATTCAACAAATGTGCAACTGACCAATTATGTATATATCTAAATCTTAAGTTACACTTAATATTGAAATATGCAGTTGGTCAATAGACCTTTATATCAAACGTCCAAGATCATCACCCTCCTCCTTGAGAAATAAACACTCTCTTCTAAAATTCATACCACTATACAATAATTAGTGTCATATAGAGAGAATACAACAAATATTTGTGTTCTTTAATGACCTTCTGCGCATTCTCCTTCCGTAGATTTCCCAAGGATACTTCAACTTTCTAAACATAACCTCGTTATGAACAACCACAATCAATAATATATGGCCATGTTATGTTTTATACGTTGGTTTTATGGTTTACTTGTATATGTTGCGAATACTTTCCAATGATTTGATACATACGTTATATTTTTGTTGCATTCGTGTGTTCAAAATATTGCCATGTTCTTGCACCATTTTTTTCAGTCCGTGGAGGAAAATGCAGCAAAAAATTCAGCGGGAGATTTTTGTTGCGTCGGTCAAACACTCCAGGATCGTGACATACATAAGAACGGACTTCATGGTAGGCGGTCAATCCCTCTCCCCATCCCATCCCTTAAAGTCTTGACAAAAAATTGATGATATCACTATCAAGTGGTTTTCAACTTTTCATACAGGTACAATGATATCAATTTTGCACCATGGAATCGAAATATATATTTTTAACAAAATAGTGGATTGAAGACAAATTCAAAACGCAGGCACACCTTACGATTCTGAACGTGGAGTGTAGGGTAAGGTGTGCAACCATTCGCAAGTTGGTCAGATCAGAGATATAACTAAAAATACCAGAACGACATGTGTATCAAATGCATACACAAATGGTTCTGCTTTTTCTAAGTACACAAACTACTTGTACAACCATATAAAAATTTATTACAAATAATATACTAGTATAAATGTCAATACAGAGATATCATGCCCAATCGATACATTATTTTTATGTAGTCTAGAGAAATAGTAAATCTATTTACATGAACAAGCGTCACTTTATCTAAACAAAATAGTACAATAATAAACCCATGGAGAATATATGTATGTAGGTTGCACCGCATGAATATAAGGCTGGGGCTGCGCCATTTCCAAGTGGTCCCTGTAGTGCGTTATTCTGTCGGCCGGGCGTGTTTGAGTCCGGCAACGGTTGTACCTGCGGATATGAGCCTGGGGCATCCGGTTGCGGCAGCGGCTGTGGGTTTGGGCCCGGCGGTGGTAGGGGCAGAGGCGGCGGTAATGGCAGCGGTGGCGCGTTTGGGCCCGGCGGTGGTAGTGGCAGGGGCTGTGGTAATGGCAGCGGTTGCGCGTTTGGGCCCGGCAGTGGTTGTGGCAGAGGCTGTGGTGGTAAAGGCTGTGGCTGCGGGTTTGGGTTCGGCAGTGGTTGTGGTTGTGGAAGAGGCTGCGGCAATGGCTGTGGCTGCGGGTTTGGGTCCGGCTGTGGCTGCGGTAATGGCTGTGGGTTAGGCAAAGGTTGTGGGTTCGGGCCAGGCTGCGGGTTCGGAATCGGTAGTGGCACCGGCTGTGGCCCTGGCTGTGGGCGTGGGTTTGGTAGTGGCAGCGGCTGTGGCCCTGGAACTTGCTGCAACTTCCGCTGTCCCGCCTGCGCGCACCCTGCACCCTCCGCTGCCATGGCAGCGACGAGGAGGAAGAGGACGCATAGGAGACCGGAGGAAGAGTGGCGGCTCCTCGCCATGGCTCGCACCTGTGGTGCTGGTATGCAGTGGGAGAGATGATGGATGGCCGGCTGAGTGCTTCCCATGGACACCGCAGCCTGGTGTTTATAGCCCCGGCGAGCCAATCAACGGGCGGCGTAAGGTCCAGCGTCCATTGGCTATCAATTCAGAGTAACTAATACTGCTCCACTAGCGTAAAGTGCACCCGTATGAGCTATGGCTGTGTGTGTGCAAATATTTCTGATTGGCGCCTTCTGACCGTGGCTGTAACTTTCAAGCCCACACTCCATATATCTATCTGTGCTGTGCGTATAAAGAGAAGTTAAGTTACATGGATGGATAGGTGGTGCTCATTGCTCAACCGGTTAGCTAGCCCAGGGTTATCCTTTCCTTCTCACCTTTTTTGTGCGAGTAAAAAAGGCACGTAGTTATCCTATCTAACTGCTCTCCAGCTTCACTCTCACCACAGACATGAAATCTGCGGATGTCGACATGCTGTCCTCAAGATCAGCAAGGTCTTTGCGACATTAATTTCAGCCTGTCATGTACAAGTTGTTGTCCAAAAGTAATGTTCAAAATGACATCATGGCAGATGATACGATGAAACCTTGAGCACCAAGAGATGTCTTGATTGGATCGAGGGCCGCTTTTCGATTTCTTCTCGGATATTGCTTGCCGGCCTATGTAAAGCAACGGTTGTACGGAGCTTTAATTCGCAGCATACATAATAGTCAAAAAGCTAATTGAAGATGTCCATCCGTTTCTTGTTTGATGGTGTGTATGTAGGCGTGTTGTTAAATAAAATGTCAAGTTGAGAGTTAATCGCACGGTCGAGTACTGTCCTCCTGGTGGCTCGTTTTTTGTGTTTACTTCGCTTCCACTCAATGGAACCATGTGAAAATCGCGCCTGACTGCGGTCTTGGTGGACGATGGCGGCCTTTCTGACATCGTTTTCTTCTCGAGGCATCGTCGTTTCGGGGAAAACCCTAGATCTGGGTCTACCGGATCGGACGATAACGGCGCTTTTGGTGTCGTTCTCCCTCCCGGGGGGCATCATTTTGGAGTAGGAGCTGCCGGGACGGGGCAAGAGGAGAAGCGGTGTTACATCTACCGCAAGACCGATGACGGATCCTGGCGGCATGGCACTGCGGAGTTTTGCCGACAGCGCGTGTGGATGGATACATGAAGGATGGTGGCGTTGTCTGGCGTCATAGTGACGTCGACGGCAGACCTGGCAAGGTCGGTGCGTGAGTACCTGCTCTGGAGGTGGGACCGTAAAAGACGGCGGCGGCAGCATCTGAGAGTGCGTCAGACCGGTGTGTGACCTAGTCCCGGTATTGTGGCTGGGCTAGGGCATCTGACTTTGGTGCGATGTCTGTTTGGTATTAGGTTCGGACATTCGGCACCCTTCATTAAGATGATAGGAGTAACGACGATTGTTGCCAAGATGATGGTTTCAAGCTTACCGACGTATAACTTTATAGAGTCACTGTGAATAATTAATAAAATGACTGCATGTATCGTCCAGATGCAGAGACCAGAGTATATCCTCTTTTTTTAAGAAAAAACTCAATGGAACCATGTGTTTTTTGCGATAACGTTAGTAGATGAAGTAGTAGTGTCCAGAACAAAATACACTCTCTACTCACGAACATTCAATTCTCTTTTCTCTTCCCGTAAATTCTCACGCCTATCTCTCCCACTAGTTTTCTTTTAGCTGCATGCGTCTCCCTTGTTGAGTCGAG